CCTGACCACAAAGCATTGAGGGAATATTCAAAATATTCATTGTCTACCAAACATTAATGTAGTCATAAATCAGAGACTTTATTTGAAAAAGGTGTGAAAAAAAAATCTGTTTTTATGGTCTGGTGAATTTCAACAAAAGGTATACCCTTCTCAGAAAATAGTCATCCCTGTTTAAATTGCCACAGCACATAACAGTATAAAGCCTGCAGTTAAAGTTGAGCTTCTTTTCATATTTATTTGACTGTTTAACAATACAGTTATGTTTTACTGTTATTAGTTCTGAGTTGAAAGGCCTAATGGTTCCTTTATCAAAGGGTAGGTCGGTGTAAGGCCCTGTCTTTAAAAGGAGCTCCTAAAATAATTGTGGAGATTGAGTGCACTATTCGTGTGTAAACGCTAATTGTTTTACATTGATGAGGAATGTAAAAACGTCCTGGAAAAATCCTGAATACTTGGTAAATACTTGCTTTCAGAATTTAGTGAATTTATTATCTACAGGAATTTGGGGCATGTCAGCCATCACTTAGGATATCTTAGCAGCAATTTGTGATTACATATGTACAGTGTTAAAATTAGTGTTAATTGAATACTTGAATAAGGAAAATGCTTTCTCTTGAAATCAAATACATGTTAATGTGAATGACAATATTGCCTAATAGCTCTTTTCAATATTGATGAGAATAACTTAACTGAAACAGTGTAGTCATTATTGTTAGCCCTAGTCTGTTAGTCGTAGCCCTTACATAAAAGCAACTTTGACATTAAAGGTACCCTGTGAAGTTTTTGACCACCGGTGGTGCTGTTGAGCGATGTTTCAATGATAGATGACCAGTCATGTTGGTATATTGTAGCCTACTGTATGCACACAACCGTGTTTTTCTGAATAGAACATGTGTTTATCTGCATACAAACACAAGTCAAGAGCATGGGGCTGAGTATTACACTACAATGCAAATCAACAGTTAGAGAAGGTGATGTGCAATAAGAACAAGCAACCAAACAAAAAAAGAGAAAAGATTACATTTCTAGAACTCACAAAAAAGTTTTGCCAAATGTTCTAGAGAAAAAGAAAACTTCACTGGGCATCTTTAATATCCAATTGATATCCAGATGTAAGTATGTGTAGACAACAGCATACAGTAACAGCTGAGCACACACTAAGCTAGCTGACAGCTAAACATGTAGCATATGACATGTTAACACAAACTGGTGAAATAAATATGAAAAACCTCAACAATGCTATGTCAGATGCCTATTTGCTCACATTGGGGCTGTTAATAGGTTCAAATTGATAAAGCCTACTTATTGTATGACTCTGATAGACTGTTATGCAATTAGTCAAATAGCATGCTATCTATAACATTTATGGTGCAGTCTACTAATAATAATTGCAAGCAAGTTCTTCAGGCTCATTGTATGTGGTCAGTCCTCCATTAATGTTGAGTGAGTGGTTATTCACAGTCTCTCTTTTTACTGGTACTGTATATTTAAAATACTTCTAAACTCATTGATCAGCAGCGATCCATCAGCTAGCCGTTGCTAAAATCAGTCATGCTAAGGTCTACTGTAACTGACTCTCAGTTTGTGCAGCTAGCTCACAATTTAATCAATCTCCTAGCACCCTTTTTTCATGACTTCTGTAAGTTTAATAGTGATACAGTAGGTCACGCTCTGATTAGCACCCTCAATCTGGACAGCCAGCGCTTCTCTCCAGGAGTGTGAAGGTCATCCACTGCTTTTACTTTTAAAAGTTGCAATTGTTCCCACTAATGATACTGTTTAAATGTGATTCATGCTTATCCTCTGTCGGTTGTAAGGCATGGGAAAGTTAATGCATTTCCTCGCTTATGTAACGCTTGATTCATGAGTCATCGCAGCACCTCCTGTCCAACAACTTTTTAGTCAGTGCACTTTTTCATCCTCAAGCAATCCGGCAGTACTTGTGTAGTCACCACACATGCTAATTCATGTTAGCTGCTGCCGACAATAGTACGTTCACAACAGCTTCTAGCAATTTCCATTTTTAATCTCTAATATGTCAGGTGCTGACCAACACTTCTTCCCTCACGCTACAGTTGGCCTGCATTTATCATGTATCATTGGTTAGCTATTATTTAACATTCACCCTCAGCTGTCAACTACTTAGCATGGCATTGCAATTGCTCGACTATTTACCCATTAGGGCAATTACATGTTTAATTCAATGAGTGGCCTTTGCTTTGGCCCATGTAATTTATATGTAGAGCAGGGACTGGATGGGTACTAAGGTTTTATCCCTATCCTTGTGATATATTTGTTGTTAAATTAGTGATGACTATTGTGTAGGCTGACAAGACCCGATTAATGTTATTACATTTTGTTTGTAAAAGCTATTGCAATTTTACTTTAGTTTAAACCTTAAATGGTTTACGGTTGCCCTGTAGTGGACAACAATGACACAAAAGCAGGCATGTTGTGACCCAGGATGGTTTTAAATAGATCACCATGACCCAAGGGAAATGCCACAGCACACTGTGATATTAAGTCTCATGTTCGGATCAGACTACACAACGGTTTTTTCTTTGAGATGGCCACTGTGTCAGATTAGGCGATTTCATAGTTCTTGTTGTGACTTGCCTCAGATAATAAGTAAGGCTGCATGTTGAAGCCTGACCAATCTTAGCTTACAACGTTTGCGATGCAAATGATATACACTGGCCAAAAACAGATTTTTATGAATGAAATTGAACCATTATTTGTTACTTTATGTTATGTATTTTTTTCTCTCTACAGTAAACAAAAGATATGGTGAAGGTTTTGGTGCACAGCATACAGGTTTATCGAATGGATGACATCTAATTAATTTGAATTAATGATCCTGGCCCGAAGGTTTAAGTTAAATTGGCTAAACATTCATTGAAATTAAATACAAAAAATACCGTTCCTTTTTGCTTTACCATGGTTATGGTAGTATGAGAGTGGTACACTGTGCTCCTTTGGATTAACCTCATAGAACACATAATAGTTCTAGCCTTATAGTTGAAATTAGGGTTTAGTCATCATTTTTTTTAGTTTGATCTTCACACAGCTGAAAGTTAGACAATGGTGAATATTTCAAAATGAAAAGTTATGTATAAAGATTTTTTGAGGTTCTTATTTTGTCTTGCTTTTAAGGGAATGTTGCTGTCAGAAGGCTATTTAGGCAACATCAGTATTTCATTTTCCTTTCAAGGCTTTCCAAACATCTTGTTAAATGGTTTTCAGCCATTGGTTTGGGTTACAAAAACAAAGTCTTGTAGCTTTTCACATGGGTCTAATAAATCTTGAGTCCAAGGGCAGGCAATCAGGTTGTTAGTCTATATACAATATATTAAGTGGATACCAAAACACTTGAAAATCCTAATCACACTTGTGTGTGAGCATGTTTCCTCGCAAATTGTAATTTGCATATGTTATGTATGTGCGTGGGCAATCAGAAACAGGCAGGCTGAGTGTTAGAGCTGAAAACGGTCCTACAGTGCGTATTGTCCCAAGATTCGGAAATTCACACTTTTCTTTTATGATGTTGGCTTGTGTTATTTTTACAGAGAAGGGTATTCAAAAAAATCCCTGGCCCATGAGAATGATGTGTGATAAAAGCCTCGGAATCTTCCTTTTGTTCAAATCCCAGATCAAGCCTTGGTGGTTCATTTCATCCAGAGAAAGAATCTGGAGCACACAGATGTAATTAGTTTATTCCATTTAAAATCTTATCCCGGAAAGGCACCCTCACTATGACACACTAGATTGTATCCCCCTCACCCAGCTTGTCTGCTGCAGAGTTATATGGGGTAACAGTAGTCTGCACTCATTATTTTGAATGACTGCACAGTGCCTGTGAGCGAGCCAAAGGGGGCAGGATGTATTCTCACAACAGAGGCCTCCAAACATCTACACTTTAGTGAAAGGGAAACAGGGAGACAAGCGTTTCAGCTTACCAAGTAGCATCTCTCTGCCAGCATTCTGCTTCTATTTCTGAGCACAATAGGATTGCCATCTAGGGGACTCCGCTCTCTTTTTGTTTTAAAGATCACCACTTTATCCCCAACAATGTCTCTTAAGCGACTGGATCCTAATGCAGTCTGCTTTGCAGCGTGACACATTCTTTCTCACTTTGCTAACATTGTTAGCCGCAGAGGCCTCACTGACCTTAAGATGTTAGCAGACAGTCTTGCAGTAGACAGTAAACTAAAGGCGCTGCGGATGCTAGGGGGAACCGTTTTGCTAAACAGCCCCACCTGTCAATTCAGTATATAAGATGAGACGGTAGAGAATCTTAGTAGAAAAAAGAGTGTGGCCAAAATAAGAAAAGAAGTAGCTCTTTAAAGTGAGGTGAAGAGGGTTGACTTTTATGGGAGGTATTTTCTTTTTTCTTCCCATAAGACAATATGCCTCTATAAATGATTATCATTGGCTAATGATAAAAACTAAATAATTACCATGACACTAGCTGTTTCTCTAGAGAGTTCCACCCAATGTGATCTGTCTGTGCTTGGCCTTTGACTTGTTCTAGTCGTGTTCGGGCATTCATGTTTAAACATGTCCTGGCTGGATATATGAAAAGAAAAGCTACACAGCCATGTGATTCACCTTTTTGTCCTGTACCATTTGGGCATCAATCAATCGACACATCTTTCATTAAAAAAAATAAGAAGAGAAAGTGGGCAATGAAATAAACAGTGCAGGTAATTACTTCTATAGTGGTCCAATAGGTAGAATAGCAAAGAACATTGATCTCAACTGAAGGTACGATGAGTTTGATTGATACAGTGAAATGTGATTTAACCACTATCAAAAGGTAGTACCAACACACAGAGTACAAAACTAGTCCTTATATGCCCAGCTCCACTCAAGCTATATTAAGTTATGCAAGATAGTTTTACCATATCCCCAGCCCCCCCCCCCCCCCCTTTTTCTGTCCCCAACTTGAGCCCACGATCATCCACAACCTTGGAACTGTATTTCACATGGTCCTGCGAGGGTCTTTGTTTTCCTGTAATCCAATCAGGAAATCCGTCAGAAATAGCTCCAATGCAAGGTAGAGGGTGAAAATTATTCTTAATAATGACATAATCAGCAGAGCAGCCATCAAGCAGATAAATTGTCATGCGCATCGTGCTAAAATATCCAATTATCCTTTGTCCCCCAGCTCTCTGTGTTGAAGTTGGAACTGCCAGGAAGCCAGTAGGTGGATCCCCGATTCCCACTGGTTCAGTCCTGCTGGCAGGTTTGCAGTATAGACGCCCACCCCCCACCTAAGAGAAGAGGGCTTAAACAGCCTGGTGCTTAGTGTACAGATCTAGATATGTAAATAGGTTCTATACAATAAAATTGTTCCCATTCTTTAAAAATAAATGGCGGAAAAGTATCTGTGACATCTTCTCCCCCTCAAAATGGTTCCATTGTGCATATAGGATTTATTTTGTTCCTCCGAGTTCCCAGTCCTTCCTTTGTTGTCTTCAACAATTGTTTTATCTTACATAGCCTCCATTTATGAAGTTAACACATGCCTAAATTGGTTTTCACCTCATCTACTCCGCGCCCCGCAAACAGAGTAATCTGCTGCGCGACGCCGAAGGAAAAACACTGTGTTTTCTTTCTTTTACAAAGCGCTCCCCTCTTCTTCCCTCCGAGGCGTGTCTGATGCTCTGTTCTGCTCCCAGATAATACTGTCAAGCAGTCATTTGTCAAAAAGCCTCGAAGGCCATATCTGTCGCTAGAAGAAAAAGTAGTTAACTGTACCTTGTTTTGCTGAAATATCAGAACGAAAAATAACAATACAAAAAAAATATCCTCCTTTTTGTTTTAGCTTGTGAGGTTGTTTTTCTTCGACTCCTTATGTGTAGTTTTTTTTCTGTACGTCTTTTATTTTTCTATAAAAAAAACATCATTATTTTTTTTTTTTTTCCTCTGGTCCAAACCCCCAGAAATCCTTTGACTATATTCTCTCAGGTATTAACAGGGTGTTGTAAAATCCCAGTGTAATTCCATTGGTTCCCAGCAACTCCAGGCTGGCTTTTCAGCTCCTGACATATCTGCGGTAGTCAGCATGTCGCCCTTAAGTCTCTGCTGCAGCAGTTGGCGTTTTTGGCTCAGCCGTCAGAGTCCTGCCTGCGTGGGTGCTTCCACAGGGCTATACCCGGGTTGTGGAATGTGAGTGTGGGTGCGGATGGGGCAGGGTGTTATTCTGCCCACTGCTGGGGAAGGTGTTGAAAGAGTGGAGCGAGGTGAGCCCCCCCATGGTGCTCGGGATCATGGTTATGGTGTTTGGCGTCATGAGCGGGATGTCGTCCGGTGAGCGTCTCATGGCCAGAGTGTAGTCTGGCGGACACGCAGTCCTCAGCCCCACGTCGTGCGGGTGCAGGGAGTCGCCCACGCCCCTGCAGTCCAGGTCCGAGTGCTGCTTCATCTGCAGGGACATGATCTCCTCCTCCTGGGTGTGAGCCAGGTCGTTGGTGGCGCTCCGCTGGGGGCTGCAGCGCCTGTGGACGTCGTGCCGACGCTTGTCCTTCTTGTAGTAGAGCGCAGCGAATGCGAGAATGTTGAGGAAGAGGAGGGAAGCTCCTACAGCGATGGTCACCGACAGCTCGGTGGAGTAGTCACGCTGGTCCACCAGGTGTGGCTGGATGTGGCTGTCCTGGGTCTCGGTTGGGAACGGAGTCGGGTTGGGGCGCTTGGTCACCATAGGCTTGGTCTTCGGGGGGCGGTTGGTAGACTCCGGTGAAGGGATCTGTGGACAGGAGGTAAATTAAATAGTATGAAGAGTTTTTTTGAGAAAAATCTTAACTTAACAGTCTGCACACTAAGGTCTCTTGCAAGTATTGAGTAACAAACCAAACGTTCATTATTGCAAATATTTGTGTATGGACCAAACGACTTTTGGACAGACTTTTCCGGTAAGCTCCATGTTTGAATGCAAAGCTAATATTACAGAGTTCTTGTTGCGACTCGCCTCCGAAAATGAGTTAGATTGCACGTTGAGGCCTGACCAATCGTAACTTGCAGATGTTTGCGATGTTCATGATATACATTGGTCCAAAACTGATTTGTATGTGTTTGAATATAGATGTATGCATGAAATAGAACAAATGATTGGTATATTTGTATTCTGTAATGTTTCTCTTTACAGTAAACAATAGAAATAGTGAATGTTTGGATGTATAGAAAAATATTAGATGTCGTCAAACTTGGAAAGTGAGTATAAGTCTGCACAGTCTGCGGACTTAAGTCTTGTGCAAGTATTATCTAACAAACCAAACCTAATCATAGCAAATGTTTGTGTATGGACCTCACACCCTTTGGACAGATTTGTCCAGGAAGCTCCATATTTAAATGCAAAGCTATCATCTAACTCTAGCTTCATACTTGAAGCAACATTATGTTACATTTCATCCTCAAATAACAGCTGCAAAATGATTTGATGCTACACTGAATAGAGATAAACTGTGCAAGTCCCACTCTGCCCCCCTAACAGCTGCTATTGCAACGTGATATTGGGGAGAGGGTTGTACAATCTCTTAGGAAATGAGCATAAGGCCTTACAGCGCTCAGATGAGTTTGATGAAACTGGATAATATTTGATTGACCTTTTGTGGGTGTATTCATAACTGGGATGGCACTTGGTTGATGTTCTGCTCTGTAGCTGTTGTCGACTAGCTATCTGTGTTAGTTATGTAATCATGACAAATGCATATGTAACATAACAGCTGTCCTTATCAGGCGAACAATTATGTATCTTATAGTATGTAGCTTTAATGCAAACACATGGAAGTGGTATTGATCCCTTTTTTTTTTTACTTTCAACAAATAAATATGTTTCTCAAAATGGTAAACAATTTCTTTAAGCTTTTGATCAAATGACCCACACTGTTATTCTTGTGGTGGGGACACATTCCAAATATCCATATACCCATCAATGGACTATGTGGGGAGCCAGAGCCAATCTCCAGTAAGGTAAGGTATGCGAGGCGTGCAGACATGAAAAAACCCAACACAAAAAGGCCCTACCCATCAAACACAAAACCAATCAATAGAGTTAGCTGCCCAAAAGTCTACTTTACTTAAACTCTATGTCTACATTATTTATAATGCCTGGTATACTGTACAAAAATAGGATGAAAACATAAAGCTGATGTTTACGTCAAATTTGGGCTGATCGTGTGAACACATGGGAATGTCTACCTCTGTATAAGGAGCATTTAATGTTCAACTCTTTAATATGTATCATGTCTGTCATATCTTGTACTGATGTGTCGGTCGCGATCTTTTAAGTGAATGACGGGAGCCGGCTCGCGCCCGCGAATGAGCCGTTTTTTGTTGTTGTTGTTAAGTAATACAAGACAGAATGATATGATGATCTCCTCGCTACGGGTGCTCCGTGCATGCAGGCAGTGACATGTAATATCCAAGGATTAGAGACTGTTGGATGCTGCTGTTTTGAGCATTGCAATATATTTATTTTCATTATGTTTTTTATTTATCATTATTTTTAGGCTCAGCAAAGATTTGTTGTCAGTTTGTATAGGTGTTGCTATCTGCTTCTTTTTTTTGCGTGGTTCTACAATCAGAGAGTTACAAGGGTCTGTAAATGCAATGAAAACAATTGGCCACAGCAAATCATTTATATTAAAAATGTAATTTTTACTTTTGAATACTTCAGTACAAAGGATGTATTGAATAATTTAAGTGATATATGTGTACACATATAAATCATTAGTCAAAACAGGGCTACATTTGATTGAATTATAAAACGTATGTTTCACAGATAAACCTAGTAACCCCGCCCCCTTAAAAAAAAACTGCTCTTTTGAACGGCTCTTTTGAACGGCTCTCGCAAAGGAACGGAGCCATAAAATCCGGCTCCCTTCAAAGAGCCATAATTCCCATCACTAATATCGGTACCACTTTACAATAAGACTACCCTTATAAAGTATTCATAAAGGGTTTATTATTAGGTTATGAATTAGGTTGTAAACACTTTATTACTCATTAAGAACCATTTATAAACCAGTTCTAACATAGTTTTCATACGTCAACACAGGCTCACTATTTGGCAAGATGACTAAGCCTTATATTGGCTACTTAGCGAGAATCAACTCAGTGGACAACAGATACCAAGGATGCTGGCTGATGAAGAAGACAAAGTAAGCTAGGTAGCCAATATAGGACTTAGCAGTACAGATAAATGTGGGCTCACTATTTGGCAAGCAACCGGTCACAGTTGCCCTGTTTATCTCATGTCTTATAAAAGCTTATTAATGATTTATAAAGTGTTCACAACCTAATTAATAAATGGATTACAAACTATTTGTAAACCCTTTATAAGGGTAGTCTTATTGTAAAGTGGTACCCTAATATCTTGTCTAAACACATAAGTAGAAATTCAAAATGGTAATTTGTATTTGTTGACCTAAGTTAGGTCAACAAACCATCACAATAATGATCTTTAAATTATTGTTTTACAGTTGCTTCTCCAAAACCTTTTAAGAGAATGACTCACGTAGTTTATTTTCAGAAGCAGGATAAGCTAAAGAGGTTTTAGTACCAACCTTGGTGGTGGTGGGGATGAGCTGGGTGACATCATTGAGGCTGTGCAGATGAGGAACCAGCTCCAACCACAAGTTGACCTGGGGAGAGGGAAAAGAAGGGAAACCATAAATGAGAAGAGCATTGAGAGGAGCATCTCAAAATCAATGCACCACTACACTATGACAATGTATGAATTGTGACTACATGGATGCCAATGTCTCAAATGAAGTCAAAGTCATGCAACTAAAGGGCAAGGTGGTCGTCCATAAAAGAATGTTTGACTGAATGATAATGCAAACAATACGTATGATAACTATTGTAATATTTATATTGGAAAGCAAATGTACAGTTGATACTGACAGGGACTGTTGAGATCTGATTGGTCAACAGTTAGGCTGTTGATACATTTGGATCAAATACTCTTTTATTCATGACTTCTCCAGATAGGATTTTCTCTGCAGCGTACGTTAACATTGTAATCAATCCCAAATAAAAGGGAGGCAGCGCCATGATACAGCAACATCTTATATTACATAACCAAATATACTTCCAACAATCAAAGAAATCCATTCCCTGATTGCTATCGTTTTCAGTAATGCTAGTATGTTTATCAACATTCAAAACGAAAGTGCATTTAGTAGCATCTAACTATACCTTATTGGCACGGTAATGCTCTTTGACGCGGGGCTTCAGGCCGATGTGGAGGTAAAGCTGGTCTTTCTGGTTGTAGCGTGTCCATGCCACCTCTTCAAAGCGATTGGGCTTGGTGTGGATGAATTTAGTATCCTGGGGGACAGGTTGGTTTGGATCCCTGAGAAAAAGATTAAAAGGGTTGCTAATTAAAAAAATCCACAGAGATGTGAGATCTGTGGATGGTTTTATTGCAGAACCAACACAGTCTCACTCCCTGATAGTCCAATAGCGACGCTTGGTCAGGGTCCTTTGGCGTGCAGTTGTGACGCGCCGAGTCTCCTTCAGCTTCATGAACGGACGCAAAGAGCTTTCAACTGATTGCAATGTATTCCCATCGGCGGCGGTTTTTGACGCTCAGGGAAGCACCGCATCCGTCCATGTCGGCGGCAGTTAAAGGCAATGTGAGGGTCCATTCCCGCCGATGGGAATACATTGTAATCAGTTGAAAGCTCTTTGCGTCCGTTTATGAAGCCGAAGGAGACTCGGTGCGTCACAACTGCACGCCAAAGGACCCTGACCAAGCGTCGCTATTGGACTATCAGGGAGTGAGAATGTGTTGGCAGAACAATACAAGCACATCTGAAACAATGCAGGGGATAATACATTGCCTCCCATTAAAGATTCAGTCCTCTACTCACCAGTAGTATATATAGACATTTTATTTATTGGGATAAACCCCTTGAGATGCACCATCTCCAGTAGTGATGTTACTTTGAAGTTGTTTTCTTAAGGTCACATGAAGAACTAAGGTTAAATTAATGGTAGAGTAGACCTTTTGAGACTGTCTGTTTATTCAAATGTTGTAGCATCTCCCTCAGGCTAATCAACGCAATTATGAAAATACTGAAACGCTTTCCCAAGGTTTCATGAAATGGGTCGATTAATCAACAGTTTTGCACCTGATAAAAAAAGGTCAAATGGGGTAATTTTGCCCGCCGATGATTGGGTTTCTAAAGGTTCTGATTGAATGAAAAGATAAGAAGTCTTCTTAATAATTTCAAGTTTTATTCAAATGCCAAATTAGCATGTCACCATTTTTAAATTGAGGATGTCTAGAATGAAACTCTTTATATATAATGTATACATTAAAAAGATGTATTGGAATTTGTTTAGGTAAAGATGCAGTTCAAGCAACATTTTCATCAAGCATATAGTGGCTACTATAGCCCAAACTAAGAAAAAGCTACTATTTTTTCATATACCATCGGAATTAGGCCATAATAAAACAAGGCTGAGCTACATGTAAATGGCAGGTCTGAAACCCCATTTGAACTCCCCTTTTATATGCTGTATATACTGCATAGCTTACAGAGCACATGGGATCCAGTGCTAAATACACCCCCTTTCACTTAATCTGAGCAGAACAGAGCCAGCCATGAGAGAGCTATGGAGGCCCATTCTGAGTCACTGAGAGCCCCATTGTCTGAAAACGGCATATGGAGCCAGCCAGACCTCATCAGGAACACGCTTAACCATTCAAATTGGCGGCATAAATCTCTCAGGTACCCGGCATTCCACGTCAATTTGGGGTTATATATGTAGATCATTAGGCCTTTCTCTTCCCCTTAGGGCTACTGGGCAGTGCACAGAAAAAGCCAATGTCCCCCCATTACGCTCTCGAAAAACAATTACCGCCATGACTATATGCTCTAAGGCAGGCGAGACAGAAGGGAGGGAGAATGATTTTAATTTTATCCTATCGAAAATGTCACTCTGCAGGCTACGGCCAATAATTAAGAATGTATTTGAAGATAGGGTATCTGCGTAGAATACCAATTACACAGTACAGTCCATAAAACATGATAGCACAATTCACTACTCCTGGTCATCAAATATAGGGTAATATTGAGGGAACACAATAACAATGAAATTATCAATTATTTCATGGTCTTGTAAAGGTAATTGCATGTTGTCAATTGCTGTTCGAGGAATTACAGAGCAGATGGCAACACATGGCTGACCTTTATACAAAACTGATGTGTATTAGACCATGCTTGTAAATCAGGTTGCTCCAGGGACAATGACTGGACAGATCATTTGGAGAAAAAGTCTTAACAGTATTTATGGTGCAATACAGCCTGGAAGAGCTCACGCAGCCAGTCAGTAATATGAGTTACTTCTCCTATACCGCTGATCTTATTTTGAAACCATAATCATCTTATTTTAACTGTTATAGTGTCAGTCCTGTTTTTCGAATATTTTGTTTTTGTGACAGTGTCAGAGCAGGCTGAGGAGGACAAGAAATGTCCTCACTTCATGGTCAGCGTGTGTCTTAATAGAGTAGTGCAGTGATGACGTATTTGTGTAGGGTACCGGAACTTTCACAACGGCTCCCTTACCAAAAATCAATGGAATATTTATATTGGATTTTGGTATATTACAGAAAATAAGTACTGTGCCCAACACACACTTATCATAGTTATTAACATGTTTGGAATTTCTGAAGCATTAATACAATCAGCAGAAGTAAAAAGCTAACGTTAGGCTATAATCGAACTACCACTGCTATGCTAAAGGTGGTTAATGTTCGGCGTGATGACGTTTAATAGATTATGAGGTTACTTGTTAGCAACCTCAGTTTTAACCACACAAGAAAGCTTCAATCATCAACGAGTTGGGTATTTACTGATGTAATTTAAGTGGTAGAATAAAACGTGAATATGTCTTAAGCTTGTGTTACCAACAGACCCTTTTCAGGCATCTTAAAACAAACAAGTTTAAAAAGCTGTTGACTTTGAGACGTGTTTAGTCTTTAAATGTCTTTTTCGGGTTTTATAGGACTCATTACTGGACCACTCTATATAACAATTAGGAAATGTTCAGCAGTAGTAATTTATAAACTCAAGGTTGCATTGCTCTATGTAAAGATCTCTCAAATCATCCACCTGCTCGGATGTTACTCTCCCACCAAATTAAGTCTTTGTTGTGCACCAACACAGTTTTAAAAGCTGCTAGAGACCCAGTTTCCCTTATACATAGCTGAGGCATTGTTGTCCCAAGAGAAATCTAGCTAGGGGAACCAGATTTCTCTAGTCCGATATCCTCACTGCACAAACATGGTAACATTTAAGCATTAAGATCCCTCGAGAAAGACAGTAACCTAGTTTTGTAGGTTTGTAGTAAACCTGGACTTTCAAACCAATTTACGCTACAATTGAAATCAGTAAACAGGCTTTGACAGAGTTCCCTGTCCATAGGAAAAGCATGTAGAAAGCAACTTGTATTGGCCATGAGGAGCTATGTATTTGTGGTGTCATCGTACCCTGTTTTGGCGAAGTTGGTCCAGTAGGTCATGACCACGGCGCTGAGCATCACGTCGTTCTTGGAGAAGTTGCAGGGAAACAGCTCTGTTGGCCCGATCATCGGTAGGCCAAATACATACGGAATCTCATCTCCATGTGCTGCGTCTGCCCACGGCGGTACCTAATGAACAGCAGACGAATCAAATCAGATCAGTATTATTACATTTATGTGACAGACGCAGGACACTGAGAGGCATTACTTTTGCTGCTGACACTGTGAATATTGTGACCATACATAGAAACAGACAGACCAAACAAGCTGAGAAAATACAATACTTTTTTTCAGAAAGAAAAGAGGAAATGAGATAAGTTTTTTATATTATTTTGCCCACCATATCTGGTCCATTATTCATTGTATTACAGAGAGACAAGATGGAAAATAAAGGAATGGCGCAGACAGAAGAGGGTGGCTTTGAGCTAAATTCTAAACTAAAATGTTAAATATATGTTATGAGCTGAAGCCTGTTGAATGAAAAATATGCCTTAAGAAAATATGTGGATTCAATTGCTACCGCTAACTTTCTTTCACGATTGCATAATTAGAAGAAAAACAAATATGCAGAAAGTAGTAATAAGTTGACCTAGGAGTTAGGAAGCCAATAAACCGAAAGGACATTTCTGAGGGTATAAGGGTGCAAACTGGTCAGTTACAATAATGTAACTAGAATAATATAGACATGCTTTCTCAATGTACTGTTGGGCAATTTGCCATGCCATAAAGCATTTTAGTTTTGTGCTCAAAACAATCTGAAGCACATTTGTACCCAAGTGTGATACAAAGACGCTTATTCTAAAGCAACGTGTGGCAGCCTGCTTTTCAGTGACAGTCTCGTTGTATTACAGTAATTATAGAAAATCAAATTGTGTATGAGGATTCTATTGGATAGCCTCAAGGTGGGTCAAAGCTGATGAAACTTCAGAGGCTGGGCAATGTCAAACAAGTCAAGACATAAATAAATGCAAAAACATGACTTGAATCTGGTTGATTCAGATGCATCAAATTGAGGAGAAGATCCACATTTATTGATTCCATTTTAACTTTGCTCGAGGAATGTCCAACTGGGGTGGCAAAAGACCCAGGATGAGCTGCAGTTCCTTATAAGTTCTGACATCAGTGAAGAATCTGAGCAATCCACATGCATAATGTGCCTGCTGTTAGCTAGGCTGAAATAAAATCTGTAAGGTTGTACTATGGCTATGTGTGGCTGGTAAAACAAGTACAAATGTGTTTAAATGAAGTTGTGCGGTTTGTATCGGTTTGATTAAAAGTCTAGTTTGTTCATTAAACAAAAAAGTCCTTTTAGTTCATGCAAATGTATTATTCATGCGGACATCTATTTTGTGTCAGTAAGAAATCCCCCATAGCAGTTCAAGGGAGCAGTTGTCTTAAACATTTTTAAGGTTGTTCAAGGAACAAGTCAATTTATGAGTGGTTTTTGTGTCATTCTTTTTTGCTTTTATTGATTTATGTAGTTATGTAGCACATACCAGTACCAATCTAAAAAAACTGAGAACAATACTTCTTAGGATTGCGCAAAAGAGAAATCTTGGTTAAAATTCAATGATCTGAAACCATACCTCTTGAAAGTATTTTAATTGATGCAGTGAGTTGCTCTCAAATGATAGCTACATGTACCAGGGGTCCATACATCTTATTCTCTACCATGTCTGTGTTTTCTTAGATAATGTCAGTGTCTACGTTTGTCTCTTTTAGCAGAAACTAACAGCTTTATCCAGGAGGACTAAGAACAAACCAGAAGCATTTTGTAACTTTGATCATATTGATGATTGATAAAGGATACTATATGTAGCATTACGTAGACATCAAGAGACTCACCTGTTCTGTCTGACAGTGGTGGTAGAAGGCATAGAAGTATGTTGGTGATCCAAAGCTGGAGTGCAGGTCAGCTGTGGCAACAGCTGGCGCCACCCACTGGTGGTCGGTGAAAAGGGCCAGCAGTGTTTTCCGGCGGGTCTCTGGGTTGTGCCTGTCGGCCCAGTCTGTGTACATGAACTTGATGGTCTCTCTGAGGATGTCTTTACCCTCTGGGTAGCCATAGAGGTCATCCACAAAACTGGACACGGCGTAGTCAAAGTCGTTTGCCTGAACGCCGTTTTCGTTGTCCACGATAAGCTCCACGAACTTAAGGCCCTCGCCCTGGTTTACTCCCAGCATAATATCATAGTTCAGGAACTCACCTGGAAAGAGATGGTGCAGATGGTAGTTAAACAGAATAAATATAGGATAAAGATATTGTTGAACATTTATGACTATTAAAGGTGCAATGGGAATATCTCGTAAGATTCACGTCTCATCCCAGCCACTCCAAAGAAAGAGAGGGCAGTGTTTCACAAAGAACATTCCAAATGTTCCAAAAATCTGAGAGACAGCCCAAAAACATGCTCTCTTAAAACCATGTATGGCTTGAACTTTGTGTGTTCACTTTGGCAGTGGGAGCTGCACTATAGGACTGATTTGCTGGGATGAGACGTGAAGCGGCTTTGGGGACCGAGCTTCAGTTAGCAGCTGTGGCAGCTCGGACTCGGCACTCGAAGCACTGGGAGTCACATGGGCCGGGCAAGTGCTGAGTCTAATTTGTGTTACAACAGCAAAATAAACTTTGATGATCCAGCGGAATGAGAACCAAGAGCCAAGGGAGCTCTGGCTAAAAATGAGCTAAATGCTAACTGCTAAAAAAAGCTCTATACCCGAAACAAACCATACAACTTGCAGGAATCATGTGTTTTATATTAAATAGCCATTGGAAAAACTGTTTTTGTACTGGACTGAGGGCAGACTGGATGCTACAGTGACTCACTATTGCCTCTCGAGGAACAAGTGGTATTACAAGAAAGGTCGGGCCTGGGCTAGTGAGTTAGCATGCAAACTTCAGTAGATATTTCTGCAACACAATACATACATGTCTTTGACATAACATCTCTATTATACCCTCTTTACAATCTGTTGATAATGTTCATTGTTCAATGTTTTATCTTACACATTGCACTTCCAAACAAAGGGAATTGATACCTTGCTCCATGAGTATCTGCGGGTCATCAGGTATAACATCTCCATCAATGACAGGTCCAAAGGCGATGTGGTAGCGAGCCGGCTGGATGTCTTGATCCACCAGCTCTTTGTAATGTTTTCTCTGCAGGCAGCTCACAAGCTCCACAGTGTCCTCCAGGTTACAGCCCACCTTACGGGCCAGCATCCGGGCGTACTTGGCTGGCTGAAAGCTGACCGCCCAGCTGGACAGAGCCGTGCCACTCATGGCGATGGCCCTCTGGAACAGTCCTGGAAACAAAAACAGCGGAGGAGGAAACAAAGCATCTATAATTATCCTAAAATCAGGCAGGACATTGAGGTGAGGAAAGTAAGGTTCAGGGACCAACAACTCCCTCTTAAGATGCCAGCATGTCTTTTATTACCTGGGTAGACTAAATATGTAAAATCAATCTATCATCTTTATCTTGAAAAGTTAAGGATGGTTATTATCTGTTTTCTAAAAACTCATCAATGAGCACTGGGTGACAGGTTGCTTAACCATGAATACAACCACTGTAAGTCGGAGTAGTTTTAACATAGCTGTGCCTTACAACTGTGATACAAATCAACGTCTATATGTTTAAATGTCAATTGTAATAATAAGAGAAACAGAATAAATAATAATAACTTTCACCAACCTCATGTCTGCTTCATATATTTATGCAAACATGAGCATATTGGTCGTTCGGAAGATGGCCTCTATCAAAACTGGATTTTTATTAAGATTATTATGAGATAAAGAAATAATTACGGATCAAATTACATCATAACTTGAATTTACATCATTATATGAATTATTATTCAGATCAGATTTTTGAAGTGTGTATCTCCCTGCCTTTAGAGACAACTCTTTGTCTGACTGTAGTTAGTCATGGGTCATCTACACCATGCATGGGAAAGGTTTATTTCACTTCTGGAGTGTTTTTCTTTGGTATCAGTTTGCTTGGCCAGGTGGCCAATTATGTCATCATCACGGTTGTTGTGGAGTTATAGTCAAATACAGGAGCAGCCACAAAATGAGAAAAAAATGGCTCCAATCAAGACCAAAAAAACAGCATCTGCCAAACGATTGAGTTTCCTCTGCACCAAGCCCTCATGGTCACAGAGCACTGCATGCATACTTAAACAGAAAAAAGATCCCAACGTTAATTCCCTGGTAAGTTGTGATTATCTTTTCACCTTTGGTGGAGTTGCTCCAGCGGTTTCCCTCGGAGTAGTGAGACAGAGTGAGCAGGTTGACACAGGAAGCTCCGGCGCCAGAGCCAAACACGGTGATACGTAACGGGTCGCCGCCGAAGGCTGCAATGTTTTCACTGGTCCAACGCAGAGCCTGGATCTGGTCCAGCAAACCGTAATTCCCCTTGGCTGCCTGGTCACCTGTACTCAGGAAGCCTGCACGAGAGGACACAGAAGAGAGGGGGTGTTAGGAGTCTTATCCTTCTTTTTGTTAGTAATAGCAATGATATTACTTTACACAACTACAACCAACATACGGGTATAAGAATGTAATAGCAAGAGCAATATCCTTTATTTTAAAACGTGTTACTGTCATATGCAATAGCTTTGTGTTGGCAATACAAATCTTTTGTCCCATGTTCTTCCTAAAAGTTCTACCTGTAATATACTTAAGACATTACAAAAAAGACATAAAATAGTGCAAGTGAATGAAAATTGAGCAAGTGAAGAAAATCATAAATATTGTGTCTGCTGATTTGGTACAATCTATTAACAAAGAACTTCTCAAATGAACAAAGTACAGGGCTTCCTGTTTGTGAAATAGTAAACCAGTATTGTTGTGCTGTAATAAGCCATACACGAGTTAACATAGAAAAATACAAAAGTTATTAAGTTTAAAGCAAATAATTAATGTTAGAACAAATACTCTAATAAGGTATGAGCATACATCACAAGTGAACTATTTCATCCTCATTTGTCTAAAATAAAATAAATAAAATGGGTTTTTTTTTTATCATTGCTGAAATGTAACCTAAATATAGCCACAGTGAAATTGTTAAAAGATGATTATTGTATATAAAAATAGCTGTTAACCTTTTTGTGATGTTGTGATCTCTAATTATCAGAAGCAGGTTTGAGTTTGCCTCTACATTTTTATCACAAGGCCAACATTGACAAATAGCGGTAATCAGACTAAAGAAATGTTAAAAAGCACCAACATCTCTTGAAATGGATTTTCAGACACGTTTCATAAAGAGTGAAATCATTTGAAGAGCTTTTATTTTTCTCAAAATAAATATATTGTATTCATATCTGTTGGGGTTCATCTGTTTATTTCCACTTATTTTCTCTGTCATCTCCATGATTAAAATAAAAATAAACAAACATCTCTTTTCGGATCATCCAACCATAACTGTCTGTAGCTAACGAGACATATTTCTCTCTTGTACATGGAAAAACCAACAAGCCTGGATGTTTGATAATTTGCTGCAATAAAACAAGAGTTATTGCCCCGTAGAGCCACTTAGAGTGTGGATACGCTAAATATAACACAGGCAGGCTCATTTTGGAGAGAATCTCATTTCAATCTATGATCCAGCCTCAAATAGAACTTGCTGATGACAAGTCAAGTAAGTGTCATGAAAACAGTTCTTTGTTTATTCCAAGTTAAATGGATGTGTATTGTCTAAACAAAGTGTACTGTAGAACAATGGATAACTTTCAAAATCCTCTCAGTTGGCCAACACAAATCAGATGTTGGTACCTTTTATATTTTCAGAGACCGAACATTTTTTTATGAAGATAAATAATTACAGTTCTGCAATAACTCAGCCATTGTTGTCCTGCTCTGCATCTAACTAACACATATTCATTTAAAGTAACAATCCCTGATGGAAAATGCTTCATCATGTATTGTAAAAGAATATTGTGTTTTTTAAATAGAGGCAAGGCAAGGCAAGTTTATTTATATAGCACCTTTCAACACAAGGCAATTCAAAGTGCTTTACAAAAAATGAAAGCATTTAAAATCAGTCATTAAAAAGAAAAGATAATAAAATAAACATTAAAAGACAAAATACATGGATAAAATGTAATAGTAAATAGAGATGCTTTGACGTGGATTAATGAAACATGTTTGTTATTTGCAGATTTCTTATAGTCTGTAATTCCTTTATAATAGACCACTGCTATGAATAACAGGCTGTTGGATGCAGTTAGATTAGCAAACAAATAGCAGACAATTTGTTTAGATTAAAAAAATGAAATCATTTTCAATAAATCCGCTTTTATTTCCCCGCATCTAACTAATACACATTTTAAATTAATACTTTATATGGAATTATTGATTTAGTATGTAGCCGTGTTATAAGCAGGATAATGTACAGCAGGCTGGTCATGAGGTGTTCAAGTTCTGTTCAGCGTGGTTATTTTCACAGAAAGGCCTTCCTGTACAATAAACTTACTTTTGGTTTATCACAACCTATACTATTTGTGTTTTGGCAACATTTGTCTTGTTACAGCTCAACCAAGCAATTACTGATATCTAGGAACAAAGTAACATGGCAAGAGCAATGTCAGATTGGGACAATAACAGGAGTACAGTATGTTTAAAAAAAGCCATAAACAAATTGCCAGTTTACTGTATTAAAGCAAATGTATAGTTTTCCATGTTTTGACAGGATTGCTGATGACCCAAAACTACAAAACAGCCAGTTTGGGTAATCATTGTGGTATCTTAGTTTCCTTTTCCAAATGAGTTTGATAGTTTGTTTCAAATCTGTGACCTTGTGTTTCTTCACCCCAATATTTTTAGTTTGCAATGAACTTAGGGGGGAAACACGAATACACTGCAACATAGGAATGAAGCAAGTAATAGAAAGGCAGCTATTCATTGATGCTTGAAACTGTGGTCTTTGCAAGGGCTCGTAAAATATGTCAAACACTTCACAACAAATCCACTTCCCCTCCATCCTAGCATCCGTCTAACTCCACTTCCATCTTTACCTCCCCCATCCAATTAAACCTGGGAGGAACTCCCGCTCAATTCATATATCCAATGGTAGCGAGATATGAATGTTTTAACAAGACAAGGATCCTAGAATAAACCCACAAGGGATCTCCGGTCTTTTAGAGCCATTTCGCGTCCAACACCCACCCCCACTACTGCCACGATCACCTCCTCCCCCTCCTTCTGATTTCCATGCTAAAAGCTCCATTACTTCCTACAGGCGTCCAGGGAGTCGCCCGACCCACCCGCCCACCAACCCCTCCCATGAACCTTTCCCCTACACCCTCTACGCATATTTCCTCCCCTGTCATCCTTCATGTTCTCGCATCGTCCCAATGTGCGGTTAAATGGAGTGTTCATTGTAAGCCATTGTCAGTCAACACTACACTTCATTTCCAAAGGGATGCATTCAGGCCACACGGATACAGACCGGAGTAATGCTTCTGAGCAAGTACATGAATGGTCCCATCATTTCTCTGTGAATAAACGTACACTGCATGGTGAGCCATCATGAATGAATGCTCACCGCTTCAAATGACAGATAGATTTGTGGTGGTACGGCCCTACTCTACTTTGTATTTGGCTCAGAAGGTCGTAAGCATCTATTGGTTAAGGTCGATCACTGCCAGGGATGTGAACATATTGAGGCGACGACCTCTAGTGGGCGTAGTAATTATGACGGGAACAAAGAATAAGTGAGTGGAGGAAGCAACACGTCCATAAGGTGATCTATTACCAGATGTACGTAGCTGTTTCTCAATCTCTCTGAATGGAGTTGTTGTGCGTTACAGTAACTTTGGCAAATTTGTGTGGAAGATCGGCACTACTCCGAAATACTGTACTATTACCTCGGACTCTTACCTAACTCCCTCTTGCAAAACGGCATAACTGGAGTTACACTCAAGACATTCCAGCCAATGTAAGGTCACATTTGGAAATTACATTTGTTAATGCACTTGACTTCAACAACTTATGGCTGTTTATGGCTATGTATCCCTCCTTTAATAAAACAATTCAAAACAAGTACAAACACATCTTATATTTTTGGTGAATTGATCTGTATTCTCATGCTCTCATGTGATCTTTATAGGCAGGAAGGAATTCTCAACTCACTTGACCTAACTTACCTATTTTAAGTATTCTTTTAAGTTAGCATTCATGCATAAAGTTATGTTACGTAATGACTTTTAGACATTACCTCAATCACATGACAAACAACATCTTTTCCCTAAACATGACCTATTTCTTTTCAATTAACAATTTTAAACACGTGTTTAATAATGCTGCCGTCACACAACAAAAGTGGACAGCATTTTCATTATGATAACAGAAAATAATGTGCATTTATATTGCATATTACGGTACATAAGGATTTAGATTAATATGACCATTATGAGATGTATTTATGCACAATTGCATATTATAACTACATCATTATAGTAACCAGAAGGTCTCTATTATACTATTCATAAATGATAGAGATAAAAAGACTCCTAAGAATGGTTCTTAAGTTAAAGTAAAACTTATGCAATGGGTTATTAATTCATGGGAATATAGATTATTTTTAATTCATGTCTTGTAATAATTATGCCAAATGTAGAGCGATACAAATGCAGAGGCAAATGTATTCTGTCATGATGTCATCAGTTCACAAGTAGCATCCCGCTCTAAATATGCACACATGCACTACACATGCACTACTTCAAACAGTATGTGCAGACCCCCCCACATAAACAAATACAGTACATTTGCCTACGCACACGCACGCACGCACGCACGCGCACACATCTAACTGACACCCACATACTGCACGCCCCCCTCCTACTGTTTAATTGAGTTCAGTCCTTTTGTATTCCCTTTCCACCGACTTGTTTATTTATTTGTGTATTCCTTGATCAAAGCCTAATCGCGTGGAAGCGACGGCGGCCATGTACAAGAAAGACTTTAATTGATTCAATTTAGCTGCAGTGCAGAGATGGGCTGGCAATCACAAAGAGCGAGGCAGGAAGAATGATTAGTTCTCCGACAGAGAAGGGGCAGCAGGACAGGGCTCCCCCTCCCCTCTCACACACACACACACACACACACACACACACACACACACACACACACACACACACACACACACACACACACACACACACACACACACACACACACACACACACACACTAATGCAGGCATGTTGAGATACAAGAGCAACAAATCTGCATTCGCTTATGCATATGAAAATGGAATTTAAATATCTAAAGACTTAATAATAATGTTATTTCTTTACTTTTTTCTATTCTTATTCTCATTTGATTCTAGTCTTAGGTAGTAACCTTTGAGCTAAGCCTGGTTTAACGAAAACTGATCTGCCACTTTATTTTACTTTTGGATTAATTCACTTTAGAAAGTTTGACATACAAAAAAAAGACTGATCCGA